AATTTTTCGTCTTGCGAAGCACGAAATCCCATAGGAATGCATTGAAATTCAATTAATGCGTTCCTATGGTCAAAAAAAAGTCCAAACAAAGCCAAATTTGGTATAACAAGAGTTTATTAAGTGCTCTTTAAAGTCACACATACTGTAAAGAGCATTTCAAAAATTGAAGGAACAATAAATTAAGTTTCTAAACATGACAGAAAAACATTTAAAAATCAACAAAGTGTACAGTACATTTTCTAAGACTCTGGGGGACAACTCGAAGAAGGTTCCTCTTCCACTCTTTGCTTCTTGCTGAAGAACCTGTCCATGGTCTGCTGCTTCATCCGCCTTTTCAGCACCTCCCTGAAAGGCGACATGACCCTCGTATCAAAAGTGTTCGCAAGGTCATGTGCAGATTCTTGCAAACCCCTCCCCAACTGTTCCCCCAGCCACCCACCACACAGAAATTAAAATCCAGAATTTTTTTTAAAAAACAGCAGAGTGGCCCAATGGTCACAAAAAATCATAAAAATGCAGAAAAACACACACACAAGCTTCCAGATTCTTGCAAACCCCTCCCCAACACCAAGTCCTTGAATTCCAAACACCCAAAATCCAAAAACCCCAAAAAATATTTTTAAAAGTTTAACTTACCAAATGCCTGCAAAAGAAGTTTTGGAAAAGCTTCAAAAATCACCAAAGTCTTCAAAAACCTCAAAAAAGGCTACCACACCGCGTGCTATGAGTTGCTCCTCGAAGTCAAGTCACAACTGCACCTCTTCAAGCAATGCACCCTGGGTATTAACGGTTTTACGAAAAAGGAAACAAACTTGCAATACGTTTTCGTCTTGCGAACCAAGCCCATAGGGAAATTCGTCTTGCGAAGCACCTCAAAAAACGAAAAACCCTTTCGTCTAGCGAGTTTTTCGTCTTGCGAGGCATTCGTCTTGCGGGGCACCACTGTAACTGAGTAAGATTGTGTTCCATGAACACAGTGAGTCCGTAAGTGACTGTAGAGGCCAATTCTGGATCCACACATCCTTCCACAATGGGGACATAGGTTTCCAGGAAGGAGTTGATCATGGCGAAGGTTTGCCAAATGTGTCTTCCTCTTAGCTCGTTTCTCCCTTTCATCTTGAGTTTGAGCATCTTCAAAATCCATGACACCTTTGGTAAAGGCTGTTCTCCAATTGGAGCACTTGCAGGCCGTATATTCCATGTTCTAAAATTTGATTGTCTTTTATGACCACTGGGTGGTAATCCAGTCAGAGAAAAGCAGAGGCAGACTATGTTTAAGGCACCTTTTCTAACTCCTCCCCCTTTTCAGGGTGAGCAGAGTGGATCCTAATAGGGCTGCTCAGTCATGGATACAGCTGCCAAGATGCTCAACTGCCTCATTCCTTGACTCAGAGCGACTGAATCTGTATCCACTGTCCATGTGCCAGTTCATGACTAGGGGCTTCCAGATTTCACGGTCCTGCCCCAATTACAATTTGCTGATCGCCATGGGACTTTTTTGGGTTTGGGTTTTTGGAAGATGCCTCTGCGTGAATGTGTTTTATGTGTTTAGATCAGTGTATGCTGACCAATGCACAGTCTTCACAGTAAGGCTCTCTTCTGATGGCATGAGTATCATAGTCGTTGTAACATGCCACTTGTTATCTTCTGCCTTGTCTGCCATTGAGGACTTCTTGGATCATTCTTTGTCTAGGTCCTCTCCTTTGACCTTACCTCCGGTGACCCTGCTGGGAGTACAAGACTCCTGATGGCTTCGCTCACAAGGGTCATAGGAATATGCAAGTCCACTCACTAAGACAAGGTGATAGTCCAGCTTTTCTAACCCACATGAGGCCACTGGCATAGTGTTACTCTGTTTAGTTTTACTGAACTTGCTAGGAAGACAAGTTCTTAAGATGGGAATGTGAAATTGGTTGTGAGGGGGATTCCACAAAACAACATAAAATACAGCAGCATAAAATACAATTCAAAGAATACAGCTAGAAAACAGCACTTACAAATTAATAACTGAGGACAGGGAAATTACTTTGCATATGTATGTAACAACACTTTCACCTAGCGATGGTGATTTAGCAACATTTATAACGTTACAGATTTTGGGTACCAGAGTTTGGGGGTGCAAAAGGGCCCATAATTCTAAGAGTGAATGTTAGAAATTAGCAAATGTTAGGAACCACTAAATACTTGGAGTCTTCACTTTGGAGAGAGCTTTGCAGTAGGGGGCGGGAATGTAGGTTAAGCTGGTCTGCCAGACCAGGGCATCACCTGGGATGGAAGAAGTTAAACATGACAAAGGTGTTGGTGACCCACCAAAGGAAGATGCTTGAGTCTGTGAAATGAGGTTTGCCAGAATAATGTGGACATAATGCCACACAGGAAAAAATGATGTCCTTTAAACACACGCACACACACATACAGAGGGAGGGGAGAGAGAGAGAGTGAGAGAGAGCACGCTGGAGAAGGGGGGTCGTGAGCAGACAGAAGAAGGAGTGTTGCATTTTGCAATGTGTTTTGGGAACAAGAAAAAGGAAGTGGGGAGAACTCAGGGGGCAAGGACAGATGCCATGCAGAGTGGCTGGAGACATGCTGTGGCACAGAGATGGAGTTTAGGATGCCTCGGAAGCTGCTGAACTGCTGTGAAAGACAAGCCCCTCTTCAGAGGCAAACGATGTAAACTGCACTTCCTCCATCTGCACCCATGTTGTAAATACATGTTAAACCATATTTCTCCACCATGCCTTGATCCCCAAGGGGAATACAAGCCTGGGTGAGTGCTTGGAACCCCCTGGAATCCTGCAGAGAGTGATAGTGGACCACAACATTTCCAACAATGTGTTATATTTTTAGGTGTACACCAAAAGGAATTGTGAATGAAATATTTGCAATTTTGTGGGAGAGAGGGGAACCCAGTTGGCTCCAGTCTGAATCTGTTGCTGCTGATAGTGATGCAGTCCTAAACACAATAATTAGGAATATGAATGACTGAATTAGATATTCCAGGTGTTTGACCTGTTGTAAGTCAGCTTTTTATATACGTCTCAGTAAGCAAGCATAGGACTGCACTGTTGGAAGCTGTTACTCATTCTCTAGCTGCCCAATACATTTGAAAAGTGTTGTCAAGTCTTCTCTGTGCAAAAGAAGCCCAGATCTTTCAACATGTGTTAACATTCTCCAGACCTGAAATCTGGAGCTGAGGACACATGATGCTGACTAATAGGCCATAACCTGTAGGTTTCGCTACATTAAGTCCCCAGGCTGGGAAACAAACTCAGCTCTCTACACAAAATATCACATCCCTCCGTGTGATTCAGTAAGATGACATTCCTGTTCTCTGAACATGGCAGGTGTGCCCCAGGTAATTTTGTATCCATACAGCTCTGTTTCAATCGAGTCTCTTGACAATGGATGTCTAAACACATTGGGCTGTTTTTTAATAGTATGGCGTAATAAGAGCAAGCTTTGAAATGAAGGTATGTAAGGTGCCTTGTGTTGTTCCTTAGTGGCAAGGGTAATACAGAGTCTGATAAAACTATTTATTTCCTCTTTTAATGGGGGTTTAATGAATTGCACAGTTTGCAATAAAAAGCTGCAGCACTCCACAGCTATAGTTGCTCTATGGTCCAAATGACTGCCCTTTCCTTTGGTTTAAGCCCCACCTGTATAGTGCTCAGCAACTAGCACTCTTTGATAGGCAGGAACACTGTGCTTTGACTCCCATTGAGTTTCAATGTGAAAGTAAAAGACTAATAGTATTACTCAGCATAAGTAACAGAGAAACATGGCTTTTGTTTAACATAATGACTTGTTGTAACCGTAGCTTATTCATCATTGCCCAGCTGGTCCAAGGTAGCTGATTCATTCATGAGTAATATTTTGGACACAAGGCATCCTGAATCAAAAGGCAAGCCTCTCTGTTACCAGACTGGTTGCTTAAAGATGGCCTGTTTTAGAACACTGGTTCTGAAGGCTTGTGCACATTTATGGTGGTGGGGTTCTACAATGGCCAATGTTTACTGAACATTCATTCTTACTGGTTTGCTGGAAGGCTATGTGAAAAAACCAGACACTAGTTATGCCACACTTTTCTCTGCATTTTCTCATCACTTACAGCAAAAGGGCTGGTTCTGCGAGGAGAAGAATAATAGTTGTACAGGAGTGCCAACTCCATGGGGACAAACTGCCTTATGCCAAGCCAGACCATATACAGTGAGGGGGGAAAGTATTTGATCCCCTGCTAAATTTGCCCGTTTGCCCTCTGACAAAGAAATGACCAGTCCATAATTTTAATGGTAGGTTTATTGTAGCTGTGAGAGACAGAATAACAACAGGAAAACCTCCAGAAACCCAGAAGACAAAAGTCAGAGATTGATGTGTGTCAGGGAACTGCCATCGGAGCTGGAAGCGGAGGGAAGGCTCCGAAGGGATGGCGGAGAGGGTCCCAGTAGGGAGAGAGGGAGCCCGTCTGCTGGGGAAGGAAATCAGCGTAACACCAGTAGAGAAGGGGGGCAGATGGGGGAATCGGGGAGGAGGCTCCAAGACTCCTCGCAGGAGACCAGCGGAGAGAGTACGGGTACTCCACTGCCCACACCCTCCCTGCGCAGAAGACTTCCGCGCAGGGAGAGTAGGAGGAGACTTGGCGTCAAGGAACTTTTGTGCTGGAAGAAGTTTAAGAAACGCCCAGTGACGGATTCTGCCAGCGACTGAGACAGTCACGATGCTGGAGGCTGTTCAGTCAGAAAGGGTTAACCAGGTAACCTAGCCACGAGCAACCCCTAAACCCATTACAATGTGCATTATAATGAGTGAAATAAGTATTTGATCCCCTATCAACCAGCCAGATGTCAGGCTACCTGGTATCTTCACTGTATGTAATGAGCTGAGATTAGAAGCACCTTCTGTAAAGGAGAGGTCTTACCTGTAATCCCAGCTCATTACAGTGCCTGTACAAAAGACACCTGTTAACAGAAGCAATCAATCCAGCAGATTCCTTACTAGCTACCATGACCAAGACCAAAGAGCTGTCCAAGGATGTCAGGGACAAGATTATAGACCTGCATAAGGCTGGACTGGGCTACAAGACTATTGCCAAGCAGCTTGGTAAGAAGGTGACAACATTTGGTGCAATAATTCACAAATGGAAGAAACACAAAATAACTGTCAACCTCCCTCGGTCTAGGACTCCATGCAAGATCTCATTTCGTGGAGTTGCAGTGATCAGGAGAACAGTGATGAAGCAGCCCAGAACTACATGGGGGGAACTTGTCAATGATCTCAGGGCAGCTGGGACCATAGTTACCATGAAAACAGTTGGTAACACACGACGCCGTGAAGGACTGAGATCTTGCAGAGCCCGCAAGGTCCCCTTGCTCAAGACAGCACATGTACAGGCCCTTCTGCAGTTTGCCAATGCACATCTGAATGATCCAGAGGAGAAGTAGGTGAAAGTGTTGTGGTCAGATGAGACCAAAATCGAGCTCTTTGGCATCAACTCAACTCGCCATGTTTGGAGGAGGAGGAATGCTGCCTACGACCCCAAGAACACCATCCCCACTGTCAAACATGGAGGCGGACATATTATGCTTTGGGGGTGTTTTTTTGCTAAGGGGACAGGACACCTTCACTGCATCTAAGGGATGATGGACGGGACCATGTATCGTCAAATCTTGGGTGAGCACCTCCTTCCCTCAGCCAGGGCATTGAAAATGGGTCAAGGATGGGTATTCCAGCATGACAGTGACCCAAAACACACGGCCAAGGCAACAAAGAGTGGCTCAAGAAGAAGCACATTAAGGTCCTGGAGTGGCCTAGCCATCAAAAATCTGTGGAGGGATCTGAAGGTTCAAGTAGCTATACATCAGCCTCGAAATCTTACTGACTTGGAGAGGTTCTGCAAAGAGGAGTGGGACAAAATACCTCCTGAGATGTGTGCAAACCTGGTGGCCACCTACAAGAAACATCTGACCTCTGTAATTGCCAGCAAGGGTTTGGCCACCAAGTACTAAGTCATCTTTTGCAAAGGGATCAAATACTTATTTCACTCATTATAATGCACATCAATCTCTGGCTTTTGTCTTCTGGGTTTCTGGGTTTTTTTTCCTGTTGTTATTCTGTCTCTCACAGCTACAATAAACCTACCATTACAATTATGGACTGGTCATTTCTTCGTCAGAGGGCAAACGGGAAAATTTAGCAGGGGATCAAATACTTCCCCCCCCCCACTGTATGTATGTAGGAGAGGGTATATTAATTTCAATTTATCTTGCAGGCCTCCATGTGTATGGATTGTAGAGAGTTTTAAAATCCCATCCTTGGCAGCGCACTTAAAAGCATAGGAATTAGGCTGTGAACCTGCAGGTATAGGGCGGTATATAAATTCAATAAATAATAAATAATAAAACCTTGTTTTGAGCAAGTCCAGCTATGAAGTAAGCTGGATCCCTTTTCTTACACTGCTAAATAAAGAATCAGGCAACACTTGTAAAGTAAGTTTAAAAATAAGATTCACTTACTTGGATTGGTTCACAGCAACTATGCAGGCAAAATACTTTTATTTACAGTATAACCAGCTTCAGGCAGCTGGAGCAAACATCTGCATCCAACAGTGGTCAAAGGAAAAGAGAGAACAGAAAGAACTATATGCTCTTTCCTCTCCAGGAAAGGAAGGGAAAATGACATCACACAGAGCCCTTGCTACCAGTTGTATTCCTGTGGTCTGAGTATCTGCCCATCAGCAATACAGCTCTGTAGCAGTAGCCTCTTCCTTGTTAACTATAACAAGAATACACATTTGTTAAGTTTGGCTGCTAATCTCCCACAGGTCCTTCTAGCTCAGTATTGTCTACACTGACTGGCAGTGACTATTCAGGGTTTCAGTTCTCCTAGCCCTACCTGGAGATTCTGATTACACCTGAGACCTTCTATAGTACATTCAAGGCAGTTCTACTACTGAGCTACAGCTCTTCCACTTTAATTACAGTCTGAACTTGCCAGTATGCAGTGGGTCCCACCTGGAAAGTAGCAACAGTCTGGAATCATTATATTTAGTGTACTGATTATATTTAGTATACTATGTTACATTATATATTTCTTTCTTGTGTTTTTTCTTTGCACTTTTCTCTCTCTTTTTCTTTTCCCTCTTCTCTTCTGTAACCTTCGATGCCTCCCTTTCCATGGAGGCACAGATTGCAGCCACAGCAAAGGTGGCATTTTTCCATCTCCGCTGTATCAAGCAGTTGGTCCCTTACCTTTCTCGTCCTGATCTGGCCACAGTGATCCATGCAACGGTCACCTCCAGGCTTGATTATTGTAACTCGCTCTACGCGGGGCTGCCCTTGAAGCTGACCCAGAAACTCCAGTGGGTGCAGAATGCCACGGCAAGGCTCCTTACGGGGTCGTTGCCACGGGATTACATTAATCCAGTGCTTTACCAGCTGCACTGGCTCCCGGTGGAGTACAGGGTCAGGTTTAAGGTGTTGGTTTTTACCTTTAAAGCCCTATGTGGCCTAGGACCCATGTACCTATAGGACCACCTCTCCTGGTATGCCCTGCAGAGGACCTTAAGGTCCACAAAAGACAACACTTTGGAGGTCCCAAGTGGCAAGGTGGTTAGATTGGTCTCAACTAGGACCAGGGCCTTTTTAGTACTGGCCCCGACTTGGTGGAACGCTCTGTCACAAGAGACTAGGGCCGTGCGGAACTTGACATCTTTCCACAGGGCCTGCAAGACAGAGCTGTTCCACCTGGCCTTCAGTTTGGACTCAATCTGACCCTTATGTTTCCCTCCCCTTATGGTTTTGATCTATGGGCTACTTTTAAAATGAGGCTGCATTTTAAATTGTATTTTTAACCTGTATTTTAAATTGGTTTCCCCCATTATGTTTTTATTGTAATTTTACTGGTGTTAGCTGCCCTGAGCCTGGCTCTGGCCGGGGAGGGCGGGGTAGATATAGATATATATATATATATATATATATATATATAGATAGATATATAGATATATAGATATATATAATATTATTATTATTTTATCACTTTATCTTATATAACTGAAATTCTCTTAATAAAATATTATTAATAATGAAGTCTGGAAGCTGCCTAAAGCAGTGAGGATCACAGATGAATTGTATGCTAAACGCTTTACAGCATGGTGGCTGGCAGTTTCTGGTATGCAGTGCTCTGAGGATGACCACATGCCAGCAGTGTGTGTAGCTACAGCAAAAGCAGGTATTGCCAATCCACAGTCTTGCATGTACACAGCACACGAGTGTTCTTACCACACATGAAGTAAACACATATGCAGATCACACACGCAGGCCACTTCCTGGCCCGTCTGTGGTGTCATAGCTGGCTGGGATTGGAGAGAGTATTGGTCTAAAAACATCTGGGAACCCAAGGTTCAAGAGCATTAGTCTGTGACACCAACAATGCCCATCATTCCTGACCATTAACTAAGTTGCTTGGGACTGGGGGAGTTGTAGTCCTATCACATTGGAGACCTGAGGTTCAAGAACACTAATCTGCTGTGATTCTCCAGGATCTCAGACCGATGCCTTTCCCATCCACTGCTACCTGATCTGTTCAAGTGGTGAAGCCAGGGTCTGGACCTGGGACCACCTGCATGCAGGGTGTGTTATCTCTCCCTTAGCCTAAGCCCCATCTCCCTGCCCAATGTCTATTGGCCTATTAGAAGTGTTTGATAACATTGCAATAGTACAGTAGTATTAACCTGAGATATGAGCCGTCACCTCTCTTGCATCACAGTTCCTTCATAATTTCCTGTCACCTTAAGTCAGATATAAGCAGAGAGAGAAGCCAGGATGCATTCTGCACCCCCGCCCATCAATTCTCAATCCATAACAGAAGAAGAAGTGGGCATGATACCTGATGTGCTTGCCAATATTTACAGAGTTTTCAATCTCAAAAGTCAGTAAGGTGGAGTGCCCATTTTGGCTGCAAGAAGTTCCTGCTGAGGTGGTTTTAAGTTACCCAAAGAAAGGCCTGGAAATTACAAACCTGGAACTTGAGTGTGTGGTAATAATTTACTTCTACCTCACTTTTTTCGTTACCCAGGTGAGAAACAACATTTTAAATAAAACACAGAACCAAGGAAATTAATTCAAATCCAGCGAGGGAACCAGCGTTTATTGTAACTATTGCAATAGTTCAGGGCTCAACTTAACGTGGTTGTTATAGCTAAACTGCCAGTTAAGAAGTCTGCCACAAGGAGAATTAGAACAAGGATTCATAGGGAGAGAAAACAACAGAGTCATAAAACACCAAATATCTTTCTACATACGTAAAGAAAGGTTACAGATCAAAGAATATAAAGTTGCATGACTTCACACTGGTATCAACTTCCTTGGTGTGTTTCAAAACATGTGGTCTCAGCCTACAACTTATCTGGCAGGTGTCTAGACAACCAGGCTTTCCCATATCTGTTCCTGGAACCTCTTGAGGCGATGCTGGTGCTAACTCACAACATAGGAAAACATCCTATCATTTGCGCCGCTTTCAGGGTCAGATAGGAGAGATGGAATGCAGTGAAGGGGAGAGGAATGAGTGCCACAAAATGCAGGCACGCATGAATAATTCATGGATGCATTCTGGTCAAAGTTTAAATGCAATTAATATTGGAACATTTTAAAAATAAATTTAAAAATCTGCACCCTTGGTCTCTAATTCTTATACAGTAGTACCTCGGGTTACAGACGCTTCAGGTCACAGATGCTTCAGGTTACAAACGCAGCTAACCCAGAAATAGTACCTCTGCTTAAGAACTTTGCTTCAGGATGAGAACAGAAATCGTATGGTGGCGGCGCAGCGGCAGCAGGAGGCCCCATTAGCTAAAGTGGTGCTTCAGGTTAAGAACAGTTTCAGGTTAAGAACGGACCTCTGAAACAAATTAAGTTCTTAACCCGAGGTACCACTGTATCAGGAGGGAGTTTTCTTACTTATAAAAATGTTTGAATAGCTCTATATTTCTAGAAGTTGCCTCAGTGACTACAGCTTAGCTGGCCTTGGGATCCATTAATGCCTACAGACTATTGCTGAGGAACCTCAGGCTTTCAGGACCATGGGTAGGCAAACTAAGGCCCGGGGGCCGGATCCGGCCCAATTGCCTTCTAAATCCAGCCTGCGGACGGTCCAGGAATCAGCATGTTTTTACATGAGTAGAATGTGTCCTTTTATTTAAAATGCATCTGTGGGTTATTTGTGGGACATAGGAATTCATTCTTTTCTTTTTTTCAAAATATAGCCTGGTCCCCCACAATGTCTGAGGGACAGAGGATCGGCCCCCTGCTGAAAAAGTTTGCTGACCCCTGACTCAGGACAAATGCAGCCCCCCAGTCCTCTCTGCGTGGCCCTCAGAACTTTCCTCAGGTCATACTCAAGCCACACCCTCTACTCAGGTTACAGCAGGGGTCGGCAACGTGCGGCCCATGGGCTGGATGCGGCCCATGAAGACGGTTTTACCGGCCCATGAGCTGAACAGAGCTGCCTGCTCAGTGAGTCCCCTGCACGCTGCGCTAAACCGGCAGAGCACAGGGACTTGCCGAGCAGCACTGGAAATTGCATCTGCGCACATGCAGATACAGTGGATGCTCGGGTTGCGAACGTGATCCGTGCGGGATGCACGTTCACAACCGCAGCATTCGCAACCCACAGTGGCGCATCTGTGCACACGCGGGTTCTGATTCAGCGCTTCTGTGCATGCGCAAAGTGTGATTTAGCACTTCTGCGCATGCGCGACCACCGAAACCCAGAAGTAACCCATTCCAGTACTTCTGGGTTTTGGCGGTCCGTAACCTGAAAAAATGCAACCTGAAGTGTCTGTAACCCAAGGTATGACTGTACTGGAAATCACGTCTGTGCATGTCCAGATGCCGAAAATTGCTTCTGTGATTTTTGGCATCTGGACATGCGCAGAAGCAATTTCCGGTGCCAAGGACATGCGCAGATGTGAATTCTGGCATTGCACTGTGCCTGTGATGGCCTGGGAATCTGATTCAGAGGCTGAACCGGAGGAATCCCAGCCTGCACAGGAGTCCCCGCCTCCAGGGCCGGCTGAGCCGGGGCAGGGGCTTGAATCTGAAGGGTCCTCACCTGTGCTGGATCCTCAGGAGCAGACACCAGCTGAATCCGCTCTGGCTCCGGAGGTGATCGAGGACCCATTGCCTGCAGGTGCTCCTCTCCCAGCCCTGTCAGGGGAAGGTGAGGTTGCCTCTGGGTCCAGTAATCCTCCAGCCTCTCCCTCCAGCCTCTCCTGAGCTGCAGAGGCTCAGGGCAGAGAGGTGGAGGGAACTAAGTTCTCTCAGGAGCCCTAGGCCTCAGAGGAGATAAAGGACAGTCAGCCCAGTCCCAGGTTGCGGGAGCAACATCGTTGGAAACCTGTTCCTGTCAGCACCCTGACCTGCTCTCCCAGAGTTCCTGACCACGCCTGGCTCCTTACCTTAGACCCCACATCAGCCTCAGACCATGCCGCACGGTAACCCCCCGGGACCAGCACAGTGCAAGTCCTTTCCACGGACAATCTCCGTGGGAGTGATCCAGTCCATGGCCCGTAATGGGCTTCAGACACAAAGCACATCGATGAGGCAGTCTTGAAGTACCAGCTCTCCTCAGTTTCTAGTACAGTGGTACCTCGGGTTAAGTACTTAATTCGTTCCAGAGGTCCGTTCTTAACCTGAAACTGTTCTTAACCTGAAGCACCACTTTAGCTAATGGGGCCTCCTGCTGCTGCCACGCCGCCAGAGCCCGATTTCTGTTCTTATCCTGAAGCAAAGTTCTTAACCTGAAGCATTATTTCTGGGTTAGCGGAGTATGTAACCTGAAGCGTATGTAACCTGAAGCGTATGTAACCCGAGGTACCACTGTAATAGATCATGGATGGGGAACCTTTTTCAGTCTGAGGACTGCATTCTCTTCTGGATAGCTTTTTTGGGGTGGGGGTAGGGCACTTGCCAGTGGTGGGCAGGACCAGAGGTAAAATAGGATGGTCAACTAAAGCAAATTTTACCTTTGCTGAGTAGTCTTGTTTCTAAACACGCACACACTGCATCTCCAAGGCGTTATGAGATTATAAGAAGACATTCAAGATAGGCAAATATACTGGTAAAGGTAAAGGGAGCCCTGACCGTTAGGTCCAGTCACGGACAACTCTATGGTTGCGGAGCTCATCTCGCTTTACTGGCCGAGGGAGCAAGCGTACAGCTTCCCGGTCATGTGGCCAGCATGACTAAGCTGCTTCTGGCAAACCAGAGCAGCGCACAGAAATGCAATTTACCTTCCTGCCGGAGCAGTACCTATTTATCTACTTGCACTTTGACGTGCTTTCAAACTACTAGGTTGGCAGGAGCAGAGACGGAGCAACGGGAGGTCACCCCTTGCGGGGATTCCACCTTTTGATCTGCAAGCCCTAGGCTCTGTGGTTTAACCCACAGCGCCACCCACAAATATATTGGAGGAGGATGCAAAATAAGGCTAGTCAGAGGCTGTGGCCCAGGGTTCGGCAAGGTTTCTCAGAATCTCAGTTTCGACGGGCTAGCTGTGGTTGCCCATTGGTGAATGGGCACATATGACCTGAATCTCTCTCTCTCCTCTTTATTGTAACCCACAATAATTATGGCTTGAAAACAGGTGCAGGTGCGTCAGGATGTCCTGCTTCAAGCTGAGCTGCGTCAGGATGTCCTGCTTTCTCGTAGAACTGGGAATCCTTTGAAAGAAAGAAAAAACATTGGTCCCCCCTTTTTTTAAAATGTCGGCAGTTTTTTTAAAAAAAAGAAGAAGAAGAGAAGTGGGGTCTCTGGTGAGAAGGGAAGCCTTAGACGGGAGTGAAATTAACCAGGCAGAAACTGACAGGCTAACTAACCAGGCGGATCGCTGGGCTTCCCCCTTCCCTGCGGTGGGGGGTCGGGTGTCCTAACGCCCACGGACTCTGTCTGCCGCCTCCCACGGGCACACAGCAAGGAGGAAGACCCATTAGGCAGCCCCACCTCAAACTGTGTGACGCGGAGTTGCCATGACCACTCTTTTACGCTACAACGGCTGAGCCAGGGGAGAGGCACGGGGCGCATTTCAGCACCGCCGTGGCCGCGGACAGCAGCCTCGGCGCCGAGTCTCCGCTCTTCTTTCCCCCCTCCCTCCCCTCCCGTTCCCTGATTTCGGGCTTCCCTCCCCCCCTTGGCTCCGAGGGGGACTGGCGGGAGGCGGAGCCCTTGTGGACTTATCTCTCCCCCTGGCGCCCTCACAAGCTCCAGCTGATCCATCCCCGAAGGGAAACGGAGGGAGGACAAGGGCTGTGAGGGGTGCGCCTTGCCATTCTCTCGCCTGCAGGCTTGAGGGACGCTGAGGGGGAGAGGGGGACCAGGATCAACCGCTTCCACGAGGCCAACTCGGTAAGTGCTTGACCGAGGCAAGGAAGCCGAGGCAAGGCAAAGGTCTACACGAAGGGGTTTCTTTTAAGGTAGCTCAGAGGCATATATTTCTGGAGTTGCCTCTGGCGCTCCAGGTTGTTCGTTGTGGTCGTTCGTTGTTGTCACCCGCATAAATGTGCGTGGCATTCAGAATAACACTAGAGCGTAAGGAACCTAGAAACTATACCCTCACATAGGGTCTGTCTTTTGGACGTAGTTCTGCATATAGTTCTATAGAGACGGAGGACAGCGCGTCCGTGCAGTCGGTTGTTTTTGGGGCTTGGATGAACCTCCTTGAGGTTTAGCAGCCCAGCAATTGTTTGACTGAGCATATATCACTTTTGCCGACTGCTGTAAGACCTTTGGCCGCAGCCCATCAAAGTGTTGGGAGATGCTCAAGTTCCAGTGAGTCGCATTGTTTTCTAGCCGAGTTCCATTGGTTTTCCGTTGGTTGCAAGGAAGCGTGTGTTGGAAGTGTCTAACTTCTGTTGTTTTGTCCTCATCCCCCGAAAATGGAAAACTGAGAGATGCTGTCTTTGAACATGGGAATTCCATCCGTAGCATATAACATGGAAAAGGGAAGAAGGAAGGAGTTGAAGCCGTAGGTTGTGCAATTCTTTACTAAGCGTAAAGAATCCCTGGGTTCTGTGTAGTGTCTGAGATCCCCGGTATCTTTCGGACTTTCTAGAGCGTCCTTAGAAACTATCCGGGGTTGACTTTTTGGATTAAAGAATAGGGGCTGGTATATGCTAACTGGATGTTCTATGAAGTCTGCTTTTTAAAAAATGTTTTTATTGAAGTTTTTCTTGGGTAACGAAAGTACATACAGCGTCTCTGCTTTCAGTCGATAGAGCCCTTTCTGTGGATCGTTTACATTCAATGTTAGACACTAATGTTATAGACAGTATGAGGTTCGGGGAGAAGAGAGGTTGGGGGGATAGAACGGGGAAGAGAGAAGGGGGGTAGTAAACTTTCGTTATTTTACATAGTCTATGTGCAAGGTTTTTGTGTCAGCGTCATGTAGGTCGGTCCCCCCCCCCCCCATTCATTTAAAGTCTGCTTTTGAGTAAAAATGTTCATAACTATAGAAGGTCTCCAGACCACAGGACTTCCTAAATACTATTATAGATCCTTTGCAAGATGTGCATGTGGGCTAAAGAATCCTTGAGTCATGTATAAGTGCTATAAAAGACCATCTGAGCTACAGAGGTGTGCACATGTTGAAAGACTAGGCATGCTGTATAATCTTTAAGTGGTATATATAAGCACTCTTTCTCCCTCTTGCTCGCGTGCTTTGGATACTATAGGAGTTTTACATTTTCTGTGGGAACTCTCGATGCTACAGAAGATCTGCCCTTTGCATATTGATTTCATGAATTATGTTCTGAAGTTTTCTACAAGGTTTTGGGAAAGCTATATTGTGTAGGTAAATGTCATTCTCTTAAAGAGTTATACAAAATCCCTGAACATGGCTTTGCATAAAAGGTTTCTGTCCATGTAGAGCCCCTGAGCTTTATATAAGACCCCAAATTAGGGTTGTCATGTGTCCTCTTTTTCCAGGACATGTCCTCTTTTTCAGGGGTACAGTTTGAGACAAATTGCATTTATTTGCTTTGAATAGCTGTCATAGCATCCTCTTTTTTGATCTTCAAAATATGGCAACCCTACCAAACTAACAACCATTATATTCTCCAGTCTTTCTGGATGCTGTACACTTCTTGAGCCTCATATATAGTCCCTTGGCAAATATATGTTCCCTTTTGCTAAATGGCTTCTAAAGCACTATACGGTCTAAAAGTCCACCGACTACCTTTAGTTTAAAAGAAATCTGCATATTTGTAAGTATATAAAATGGTGAGTGCTATGACATTATTCGTCCCTGGGACTAACTTGGAACCTGTTGAGTTTTGGATTATGAGACTTCTCAAGATACATTTGGATTCATCAATGGACTGTAGACTCATTTTATTGAACCTGCAAAACCCCTTTATATATGCAAAGTCAGATCATTAGTCCATCTAGTCCATGATCATTTACTATTAGAGTGTCAGTATGGTGTAGTGGTTAGACTGTTGGATAAAGCCCTGGGAAATGGAGGTACAAATTCCCATTCAGCTACGAAGCTCACTGGGTGATGTTGAGCCTGTCACTGCCTCTCAGCCTAACCCAACTCACAGGGTTCTTGTGTGGATGAAATGAGGAGGGGGAGAACCAGGTATGCCACCTTTAGCTCCTTGGACAAAAAGATAGGATGTAAATGCAATCAATCAATCAATATACTCGGCAGAAGTTCTTCAATGTCTCTCAGGAAGATGTCTTTCCCAGCCCCTCTACTTCACTGAAATTGAGACTAGTACCTTGCAGATATTAAGCATGTGCATTTAGCACTGGTGCTTTTGGCCAAGTTAGGGTTTTAGAACCCCAAAATCTGCTAAGATCCCTGGGTCTCTTTAGAAAAGTATTTCCAAGCTCTGAATAGTTTCGGATGCTAGAGAGATCTGACCAACCCCTTTTCTGCCCTAGAATTTCACTTGTGTTACGTGATACTAGGAAGGCTACTGAATTCTTATATCACGGGGGGGGGGGGGGGTGTGCATGGGTGCATGCAAGTGTGTAAGCAGTGAAAAACAGGGGCATTTGCTTCTAGAGTTGACATAATTATTCAACCTTAGGTCTTCAAATGCTGTTGGACTTCAACTCCCATCACGCCTGACCATCAATTAAGCTTGCTGGGGATGATAGGAGTTTTAGACCTCTGGGAATCCAAGGTTCAAGAGCACTTTCTATAGCATCCATTGCCACTATTGTCCTTTAAAGTAGGTGGCCCACCCTTACATTTATTTTCTCTGTAGTGGATGTCTGTGGGGGTGTGAAATAAATGGTTTTATGAGCAGAAGTCAGGGCAGTACATTTGCCTTTCACTTATTCAACTTGCACTGTAAACTCAGATTTCTAGCACTAATTCTTCAATAACTTCCTATCCACAGGGTCAACTTTCTCCTGCCACCCTCTCTCCCATTTTTCTTATTTTAGCCATCCCAATGTGCTTCATTCAGTCCTTTCAAGTTTGTCATGCCAATTCTCCCCATGGTGCTTTGATGACAATAAATTTTCATAAATGAATCATTGGTCAAAATGATTTGGTTCTCTGAGAAGCTGTTAGAAGCTGGAGAGAGATGTTGGAATAATTTCCCCTTACAGCCACAGGTGGGTTGAGGCTGTATAAACATTTGGCACTGAGGGGCAAACAAGCTAGAGTTTCCGCCTCTAAAATTATTCCATGTTCTTTATTTTTCCTTTCTTTTTATATGACTTGAATTGTCTTTATCTTGTCTCTGTGCCCCCAAAGCCTACGATGAATCAGCAAGCTGAAAAGAGCAGTCACTTTGATGAATTCATCTGCACTTCTGTTTCTTAACTGTTTATTATTTTACCATAGCAGGAGCTATGGTTCAAAACAGCAACATTGACTCTAAACAGCAGTATTTATTTTTGTTGCGTTTCCCAGCCAGTTAGAAAGCAAACACAGTTTAAACTGAACTCAGATGCAGAATTTGCTCTGAAGCTTCAGAAGGGGGTTCTGCTTTATAACTTGTGTCATAATGCAAAAGCAAGAAAGTACTTCTGAACACACAGTGAGTGAATTGCCACATCCTAGCCAATGCAGACTGCAATTGCTTTTCCACCTGAAGCAACGGTATTAAAATGAAGTCCACTAATTTTCACCTCCATCTGACTCCACACTAGACCAGGGTAGAGAAATTCAGACCCAGGCCTCTCTGTATGACCCTTGATATATTTCTAGGTCCTATCTGCTATCCACCCTCCCACCCAACCTCTTAACCTTGACTGAGTGTTTTTGTCTGGCTAGAATACGTCCTAAAACTCTGATAACGACTTCTGCTTGCCCTGACAGAGGAGACTAGTCTCTTGTACAAAGCAAAGACGGACATTCATCCCACTGACCATTTTTGTCTTTCACCCTGCCAGTCACTGCAAGTGGACCCCAGAAGGTTGCCTTAGAAGGAATTGCAGTTCTTTAGTTGAAAAAGATTCCCCACTCTTGTTTTAGACTCTGAAATTCATGGTCTTGAACTTGAAGGTGGGCTATAAGTGAAAGTGGTAGGATCTGCAACAAAATGCTGTAATATGCCTGTGTTCCTGTTAGGGCTTCAGAGGTCCAGCAGCCATGCCTTTCCACCAAATACTGCCCACTCTACCAGCCAGCCAGCATCCCATGACCATGGTCACTGAGCTTTACTTCCTCCCCTTTGTCCCTGCTTCTGCACACTTTGGAGTTCACTGGCGTCTGCTGGTACCTCTCTGTTGTCTGTGGATGGTGCCTTTTTGACTACGTAAAAATATCCATATTCATTGAATGAGCTGGCTATTCATACATAGCAGGGGTAGGAAACCAAGTGTGGCTGGCTGGTGGGCTGGATCTTGACCTCCCTCAAACCCTGCAGGCCATTCTGGCAGGGAGATAAGGCCACCCACCTGTCAATCTGCTGAAATCACCAAGACATGAAGAGAAATATTTTCTTAGCCTGTGCAGAAAGCTTAGCCTCTATGAAAGCTATTTTTAAAAATTTGAAGGGCTGTGCATAGGCCCCCAGCCCACCCTGTGGCCCAAAAATCTGCAGCCCCTAGATTTACCTTGTTCCTGCCCCAGGGGATACCCACCACAGATTCATACCTGAAGCAATGCAGAACTTTTAAGGGAGTCCACCAAAGCAGTTTGTCTCCCAGGTAGGGATGTTAAATAAAAGACAAGACCAGGGAGTATAAAATAAGGCACCCAGTAGTTCCCTAGTTTATTCTACTGCAGTAAGTCAGCACCCATAGAACAAGTTTGAATGGAACTGCCCCAAACAAGGAGACTTCATACATTGGCACAATATACATTTTCTATCACAGGGTTAAGTAAAGTTGCCATAAAGTTGTTGAGCTATTTTAAAGGAAATTGGGGGGGGGGGGAGCCCACTTACAACACATGGGTTGACATATGTCCAGATTTAAGCGATTCTCACCCAGACACTGTTTCTGATGGCAAAATTTCGGCAATTTCCAGGAAATTCTGGATTTATGGCTTTGTTAGAAACTCATGCAAGGATCCTTCTCTTTGTACAGGCACTTGGTTTTCTGGAACATATATATTGGGGTGATTCTGCTTTGTGAAACAAATTTAACAGGTATTGGGGGTGTCTTTTGATACCTTCTACCTAAGGGCGTGCAAATCCTGCCAGAGGAATTCTGCTTTGTAGTTTGATTTCTGAATCTTAAGCCAGCTGCTTCTGCAGAAAGCCCTGATTCCATTGATTTCACATCCTTCGCTTAACATGATCAGCTTCTTCTTGCTGACAGTTAATGACCCTGGATAGATTGACACAAGAAAGTTTTACACCTGTTTGCACTGCTTTGTGTTTTCTGGTCTTATTACAGCCACATAAAGTTAGTTGTGCAAGCAATGTTGCCGTCAGGGTAGGACTTCAGAACAGAATGAGCAGGGCAGCCCTTAAACACAGCAGGACCAGCTTTCTACATTTTCAAGTAACCGAAATAGAGCATATTGCCACCTAAAGGATACATCTCAATACAATTAAGTCTACAGTCCAAAGTAACCTAACTGCACCACTGTCTGCTGGTGTTGCTTCGAAGTCTGTTTCAGTTGCATTAGGAAAGAGGATAACTGCTAGAACTGAAAAATCACAATGCTGCTACTTTTTCCTATGGCTAGAATGGATTGAAATGTCACTGCTGACGTTATTACCATGCTGCTGAAAGACGAGGAGAGAATGATGGATGGGGCCAAAGTGAGGAGCTTTGCTTCAATATGCATTGCAAGCCTTTCCCACCTGTAGCATAAATAAGATTTGCTGAATGCCATTGCCAGTTGCTTCTGCGTGAAGGTGTGGCTCAGCTTTCTTAATGACCATGCTAAATCACTACAAAGCTTAAATGTGAAACTCCCATCTGCCAAGCAACAGTTAGGACTGTCAGTAACAATGTGGCTGTTAATAATCACCACACACAGACATCCCCTTCAAGTGTTCCGATTGTTCCAGGACATCCCCAGAATTACAGAAGCCATCCCAGCTTCTGATTTGATCCTGGAATGTCCCATTTTGCTCCTCTAGTGTTGCCGCCACCAAGCTCGGGGAGGAGGATGAGCCGGCGCTAGCAGTTGACGCTGGCACTTGCAGTGCTGCTGCTCACTCACGCAGGTCAGCTGATTCATGTGAGAGCATGGCACCAAAAGACACGTGCTCTGATCTTCATCAGAGGAATGTTGGAAGGTGTGCCTGGAGGTTACAACAGAGGAAGCCATGACTGTTAGGATGGTATGATATGGCTTTAGATGTATAGTGCAGATGGGGCCAAGCTTAAGTCATTTCCCCACCATAACATTTAACACACATTTCAAGCGCATGGCTTCCCCCAAATCCTGGGGGCTGTAGTTTACCCCCAAACACTTGTGTTTGACAAATCACTGATCTCACCTATGTCTTTGAAGGGCAATGTCATGAATGCAAGGTTAGAAACTTGTCCATAACTTAGTACAGCAGGTGGACTACTCAGGTTTCAAAAAGCCATGTTACTGTTTGTTCTTATCCCACAGCATTTCATTGGGAGGTTCACGCTTTCATCGGTGACAAGATGTGCATTTCATATTTTTGCCAAAGGATCCAGTGATTCATCACATTGACTCTTCGGCAGTGCATACTTGGCAAAAATCCAGCTATCGTAAGTTTGAATCTGTTTATTTCTCAGTGGAGACTCTGCTAAGAAAGTTAAGCTCTTGCAATAGGAGGTAGAAAATATATACGGAAGCCCAATTGTAAGTTAGATAATAGTGTGCAAGCTTTCTGGGTTTCATCAGGAAGAAATGTTCAGGTATATTATTTCTACCCCAAGCTAATCCCACCTTCTTTCTGTCTTTTGGGGCAGAGGACACATCTGAACAAAGTTCATCAACCAACAGGTGTCTCAATAGGAGCTTGATAAATTTGATTCCCGCCCCCCCCCCCCAGCTAGCAAAACTGGAGGGGGTGTGTGTGTATGTCAGGCTGGAAATACTACCTCTTACTTTTCAGAGCATGATCTGTGCAAAGTTAAAGGCCACCACAGATTTGGAGTGGGGAGAGCTGGAAATGGTGTGTGTTTATGGGTGTGTGCATATGCATGTGTACATGTGTATGAGAGGGGGGCATATGTGGTGGGTGTATGTGGTCTGAAAGTATAGTGTGTGTATGCATATGCTGGTTACTCCCACTGCTAGAATATGGCCCTCAGAGAGGTGGGTGCCTAGCAATGTGCTCCCTGGGCTTAGAAACAATAGCCAGTCCTGTTCTACACAATGCACTCAAGCACAATAGGACTTTTTATTATATGAATGTCATTATTGGGTACTAGGAAGGTAGTTTGGGGAGAACATGGCCTCTGTTGTAGAGATCATTGAATGCTAAAATAATTGGCCTATTTTTATTTATTTAAAAAGAGCAGTTACCTAGTCCTCAAGAGCCCTTTTCTGATTATTGAAATATGGGAATACTCAACATAGAATCATAGAATTGAAGAGTTGGAAGGTACTCAAAGGATCACCTAGTACAACACCCCCACCCCACCCCCACTGTAATGCAGGAATCACAGCTGACATACGGCCGTCCAACTTCTGCTTAAAAATCTCCAAGGAAGGAGAGTCCATCACCTTCTGAAGAGGTCTGTTCCACTGTTGAACAGCTCTTACCACCAGAAAGTTCTTCCTCACATTTACCTGGAATTGCCTTTCTTGTATTTTGAATCCATTGGTTTGGGTCCTACCCCCTGGAACATCAGAATGCAGACTAATAACATAAAGAAAAACACATAGAACAGGAGTGAGGACACACCTTTTGTCTCTACTCCTGATCTCTACGCATTGACCATTCCATTGTGCATAGAGCCTGAGGAAGTGGTAGGTGCAATTTGATGCTCTATAAGGTTCCCCATCATGGGGTGAACAGCTGCACTTATTTAATCTGCACATGTGTAGACTCCATTCAGAAATAAACAATATGTGGAAGTCAGGACAGGAGTCAGAATAGCAAGGGCATTTCTGCTCTCCCTCCATGTCTACTATGTATTTTGGAAAGTTGTTTGCATTTGGACACCTCTTAAAATATTATAGCTAAATTTTTCATGGTGGTTCCTGAGCTCAAGGAGTAAATTTAGATTTGGATAGAACTGGATGCCATTTTAAATCAAGATGGTGGGCTGAGCCTATCAAAGCACCAGTGATTTGAACCACTGATTTTGAAACTGAAGTGCGCTTTTTATGTTGTTGTTCCTTATACTTCCCAAACAACAACAGATACGAGGCTGTTAGGAATAAATATTCCCAGATTTCAACTGTGTGAAAAAGTGTTCAGAATCAGATGGGAGGGGCCTCAGAAACAGTATGGACAGATTCTGTCCAGTGCTTAGCTATGTTTTTATGAGCAGTCACGTTTTGTAGATATTGATGTTTTAGTTTGGTTGGGTCTGGCCATCACCATGTAACTTGATGGCTTGGTGCTATTTGCTTCACATTTCTTCTGAAGTGGGTGGGAAGTGCTAGTTTACCCAGAAGTAAGTACTGTTGAGTTCAATGCAACTCTTAAATAAGGCTGCTTAATATACTAAACAAGGCTTAGTATTAATGTTCCCCATTAGTATTGCTCAAAACCAGTTTGTGTGGAAGACGCTGTAATATTTAAGGCAACTTAAATGCATTTTTAAAGGCTACAAAAATACAGTTAAATAAAAAAATGCACTGACTGGAGAAGTTATCTCATACCAGATCCATCCCACCAAGTACTGTCTATCCCGAGTAGCAGTGGCGATGCAAGTTCTCCAAGGACAGAAGTCTTTTCCATCACTCGCTGCATCATCAACTACCAAATCTACTAACCTGGAGAGGCCTGGGAACTCCTGCAGGTAAAATATGTGCTCTATCTAACACACAGGTATGGTCCTGGTTACAATTAGAATAGTATATAAAAATCCAGAAGACAGGAGAGTTAAATACCATCAAAATATTTGCCAATGTAAACCAGCTTTAATCTGGTACCTAAACAATGCTAATGGTGGCGCCTGGTGAATGTATTTTGGGAGCAGCATTCCATAAACAAGGAACTGCAAGAGAGGGCCTTGCTGCTGGTAAATGTCCATGTGATTCTAGCCACAGCTCAGGGGTACAGAATATATTTCAGCCAGAGGGCCACAGTTCCTTCTGGGCAACCTTCTGAGGGCCACATGCCAGTGGTGGGTGGGGAAAAGCAATTAATGTAATATTTTTCCCCTTATATGGTAGGCTAGCTTCTATACTTACTATCACACAACTCTCTCTATCTGCCACCAAGGAGCATTATCAGGGTTCAGGGACACATTCAAGCCAGGCAACAAACACTCAAGGAGGGCAGGGTGCGTGAAGGGTGTAGCCTGTGGAGAGGACCAGACAGAGAGCCCTAGAAGGCTGCATTTGGCCCTTGGGGCCCAAGGTTCTCCACCCCTGCCATAGATGAAGTTATAACCAGGACTTGGATAGCTACCTAGTGGCCTTCTGTTCAGGCTAACAACCTGGCTAATGCTTGTTTCAGATGGTAGAAAATCAATATTGCGTATTTCCCCAAGACCATTGGCTTCCAAGCAGCTGACTCTTTTTCTCTCTTCTTCCTGCGCCCCATCAGGTAGGTTAGGGGCATATGGTTTTTGGTTACCATGAGTCTTGTAAGAGATATAGGACGATAATGGCATGGACGATAATGGCATGGAAAGCTTGCAGCAGCAGTCCATGTACTACCATGAGATAAGAGAGTAAACAAACAACCACAGTACGTATGTTGAAATTAGCTTAATGGAGCATGTCTTCAAAGCCCATGATTAAAAGAGATTGGCTCTAGCCTGCTTCCATTTCTTACACCCTGGCTCATGTGATGTGGTGAGGGCCAAGGGTCTTTTTGTGTGAAGTTTGGCGCATGGCAATGTGTTCACATGCCCCACTTCTACAAGGTAAACTGCCAGGGAGCATTTGAGGCACCACATTAAGAGTGATGCAGGTAGAACCGATGGATGGTACCCCTGTGGCATTGTCAATACTTAAATTTGTTAGGTCCATTGTAGGATCATGTGTCCTGGCATGAATTAGATGCAGTAAACTCTGGTCCATGGGCAAATGTGGCCCTGCATCATGCAGAAAGTAGATTTGAATTCACCTCTCAACAGCTGATGGGTGGTGAGTTGAAATGTGCTAGATCAGCTGTGCATCTGAGTTCCCCAGGCAGAACTTGATTGCGCAACTGTATCCCTGCAGAAAGCAGGACTGCTCCGTACTTTGCATGGGATTGGCAAAGCCCTTGCACTGTCATTTCCAAGTGCTTGAAAACTGCTGCACAAGGTACTTTGGCAGGCGGGAAGGGCAACGCACCTGCCAGTCACTGCCCACCATCAAAGCTGGCCTGTTGAGGTAGGATTGGAGATTCCCTAGCAAATCCTGAAATGTGTTTAATCATTTAGGAGCATTTGTATGCTACTTCAAGGCAGCTCACAATGCCCACTCTTCAGAAGCATCTCTTGATGCGATGCTTGAAGCTGCCTAGAATGACTCATATGAATCATAATGAGCCCAAATCTTTCTTGCAATCATAGACACAATTGCCTAAGAGTATTTGAGCACATCATGATTCATATGGTGCATTCCAGGTATCTTCAGTCACTACATCAAGAGGCATTTAACATATTCCAGAGGACTCTTCCAAATAGCAAAGTGGATGATTTTCTTAAATTTGTATTTATTTTATTTTTAATTGTTCAGACATATTGGGGATATTTTAGCTGGAGGATTCTGGAATTGTAATATTCTTAAATGACTAGGAAAGCTAGGGACAATGTGGTCCTAAATGTTCTTAAAAGGTAAAGGGACCCCTGACCATTAGGTCCAGTCGTGACTGACTCTGGGGTTGCGGCATTCATCTCGCTTTATTGGCCAAGAGAGCTGGCATACAGCTTCCGGGTCATGTGGCCAGCATGACTAAGCTGCTTCTGGCAAACCAGAGCAGCGTACAGAACACCGTTTACCTTACTGCCAGAGTGGTACCTATTTATCTACTTGCACTTTGACATGCTTTCGAACTGCTAGGTTGGCAGGAGCAGGGACCGAGCAACAGGAGCTCACCCCATCACGGGGATTCGAACCACCGACCTTCTGATCAGCAAGTCCTGGGCTCTGTGGTTTGACTCACAGCTTACTCAGCAGTAAATCTTATTGAGCGTAGGGACTTTATTTCCCAAATCCACTTCAGAGTGCAAGCTAATTTTTGTCTCTTGCATTGAACCTAGTGGAGGCTGGTTCATATAGACTGAATAAGGGATTACCCCACTAGCTCCAAAACACCCTCAGCCTACTGCATCTGCCAGCCCCAATGGCCGTTAGTCACCACTGATTAGACTAGATGTTTCGAACTCACCTGAGCATCTCTACATCTCTCCAAATTTAGGCTACACCCATAACATTTAGAATTATAAATATTGGCTTGTTAAAGAAAGTGTCAGTGTGGGTTTCAGTAGGCAGGGAGAGAGAATACCCTTAATTTTTGTTGGCACAAAACCAATGTTTGCTAGAGCTAGCCAGCTAGTTTGCCAGGTGCTTCTGCACTGTCTAACTTGCAAGGCAACATGAAGATTGCATCTCTGTAGGACTAACACTTCATGCCATGCACCCATTATATTGGGTTTCCATGGCGGCAAAACACCTTTTCCAGGTGTCTCTCTCTATATATCATCTCCACTCTTCCTCATCTCTGTTTTCTTGCTAGAGACGAGCCATTCTAAGGCACAACTTAATTTCAGAAACAAAATCTTGAACTAGGTACCTAAATTATTTAATTTAGAAGACGAATATAAAGATGTGGGGCAGCGAGAAATAATTTTTCATGTGCAAGGAAACCTATTTGATACAATTAGGGATATGTCCTAGGGGAGAAAAGGACAGCCAAATAGAGTCAGTTGATGCCTTCTGAGCTCTTCTGATCTTCCACCCCTGGAGATGCTCTGTGTTCCTTATACAGTGGTACTTTGGGTTACATACACTTCAGGTTACATACTCCGCTAGCCCAGAAATATTGCTTCAGGTTAAGAACTTTGCTTCAGGATGAGAACAGAAATCGTGCTCCGGCAGCACGGCAGCAGCAGGAGGCCCCATTAGCTAAAGTGGTGCTTCAGGTTAAGAACAGTTTCAGGTTAAGTACGGACCTCCAGAACGAATTAAGTACTTAACCCGAGGTACCACTGTAGTAGCAAGCACCTTTGAATCCACTTCACTCCACCTCCAAATAGTAATTGCTGATTCACACCACCCTGAAACAAGGCTACTATGCAAGCTGCAAGGTATCTGAGCTTGGGTGTGCTATGAAATTACTGTAGGTTGTGTCCAATGCTAGTCCTACTCAGGATAGACACATTGAAATCAATGTTCATGGCTAATTTCAGTTCATTAATTTCAGCAGGTCTATTGAAAATGAGAAGTTCAGTGGGTCTACCCTGAGCAGAACTTAGTTGGTTATAACCCAATATCATTGTATCTTTGTACAAGTTTGTCTCTTTCCCCCCACCATACAGGGTATTGCTTCACTGCTGCACTACAAAGACATCTGAGTCAGACACAGTTCTGCAAGGCTTTATATTGTATTGAGATGCCTCACCATAAACTCCTATTCCAAAAATACCACAAAAATAAATATAATTTTTATATATAAATATAAAAATAATTTTAAATTACTTGATAAATATGTGCAGTGAGGGAAGAAGGCTACCGCTCATTGGACGCTGGTCTTTTGGGGCAAATAGGGTACTGCTATATCAGTCTTCGTATGTCCTCTGCCTACCCCCACCTGCCTGCCTTCTTTCTTACAACAACTGAGGTGATAATCCCTTCGGGTCAGCTTGATCCTTCTGCAGCTCAGTGTTGCCCTTTGTAAAACTAAGCAGGGAAGAGGATGAGAACAAAACTAGAATTAGTGGGCTCCACCTGTCATTGGCTCTGGCTCTTGTCCATCTCTTGTTGGTCTCCCTTTCTTATGCCCTACCAGTCCCAACAGGAATCAAACACCACTGCCCTTACTCAGTGGTCGATCACATGCTTTGCATGCAGAGAGACCCGGATTGGGTCCCAGACAGTTCCAGTTAATCAGATCAGCAGGTAGTGTCAGGAAATACTTACTTCTGCCTAAGGCACTAGAGAGTTGCTGCCCTTCAGAGTTGACACTACTGGACTGGATGGTCAAATAGTCTCACATAGTATTAGGCAACTTCCTACTCACCTAAAACTCCATTTTATGTATCTACTGGTATGTACAAGATACTAGAAAAAGCCAAATTGTCATTACTGTTCATTGTCATCTCCCTCTCCACCCTGCTTCCCATTCCCCAATCAATAATCAGGTGTTCACAAAATATAAAGAAAGGCAAATTTATTTTCCACTTTGAGTAAGAGTGCTCTAAGCAACATTTATTTCTTATTCTTTGAGGGGAAACCGGGCCAATCTTTTTTTAAGAAATGAAATGAAATAAAAATATAGCGCAGACAATTTATTGGACAAGAGCACAAAGATTACAGATCCACAATATCAAGATGATTCCTTGAATGTAAATAATCAGTGCTATAGACATTACAGAACATTTGTTATTATTTTTAAATCTACTTGCATATTTGCCATATTTGGTTGTGTACTTAATTACTGTAATTTCCTCTAATTGCACAGTACTGTAATTTCCCTTAATTACATTCATAGTGTGCATACTTAAAATCACAACACTGGGGCACTTAATTTTACAACAACCCATAATAAACCTCCAGGAAAACAATGCCTTCCCAATGTTGTGTTGGAAGCATTAGAAACCTGACATTCTTTTGGATTTCCCCCCTTGATACACACACTTTTTGATGGCTGAGATAGATAGATAGATAGATCTACCTACCTACCTATCTACTGTAGCAAAAAATAATAATACAAGCTCCTAATACTAGCCGTGATGGTTATGATGTATCTCCACTGTTGGCATGCCTGTCTATGCCCATTGCTGGGAATCACAAGTGGGCAGAGTGCTGCTGCATTAAGATCTTGCTTTTGAGCTTCCCACAGGTTTGATTGGCCACTGTGAGGATGGGTTGCTGTACTAGGTGAACCATTGGTCTGATCCAGGAGGGCTCTTGTTATGTTTTTCCCCACACAACCATTGTATTTATGAGTGAAGAGTAGGATTTTGTCCACTGTTGGTACCTCTGTGAACTGAATGTTCAGTGATAGCTTTAACAAGGACAGCCTTAACACACACATAGTGAGCAGTAATTTTGGGGTCAAGGTTTATGGCCATAAGTCATGATTCTATTGCCCCTCTTCCAATGTAACTACTGAATACATGAATGGAGGAACCCCTCTCTAGCCAATTAGATTGGGTGGGTAGGACTTCCTTCCAAACCCGAGGTGGGGCAATCAATCAATCCCTGTGCTATTTGTCATGTCATTGAAGTGCTTGATCTGTCAGTGCTTTTTAAGATGTCCCTGACTTTTTCCTTTGTGTTTTCCTCTTAGTTTACCAGCTGATTTCATGATGACTGAGGATTTAGATCCAAGATTCAGTTTTCTCACTTGGGAACAGATTAAGATACTGGATCAAGTGCTAAGTGAGGTGATCCCCATTCATGGCAGAGGGAATTTCCCGACGTTGGAGGTGAAGCCAAAATACATCATTTGTGCCGTCAAGGAGCAGCTGATCAAAAATCAGATCGCTGTCCAAGACATACGCCTGAATGGCTCCACAGCAAGCCACATCCTTTTAAAACAAAATGGTCCCAGCTACAAGGACCTGGATATCATTTTTTCTGCTGAGCTTCGAAATGAGCATCAATTTCAGGTTGTGAAGGAGTCTGTCCTTAATTGCATCTTAGACTTCTTACCAAAAGGTGTCAACAAAGAAAAGATCACAGCAAAGACAATGAAGGATGCCTATGTGCAGAAGATGGTGAAAGTGTCTACAGATTATGATCGCTGGAGTCTTATCTCCTTGACAAATAACAGTGGGAAGAATGTTGAGCTTAAATTTGTCAACTCTCTCCGACGGCAGTTTGAGTTCAGTGTTGATTCCTTTCAGATAATCCTCAATCCTGTGTTAGATGTCTATAGCAATGCAGATGGTGAGCTGTCAGAAGATTCTAATTTGTCCATCATTGCTGAAAGCATGTATGGAGACTTCGATGAGGCCATGGAGCACCTGAAGTACAAACTGATTGCCACAAAAAAACCCGAAGAGATCCGTGGTGGAGGCCTTTTGAAATATAGCAACCTTCTGGTTCGGGATTTTAAGCCAGTAAATGAGGCAGAAATTAAATCACTGGAACGTTACATGTGTTCTAGATTCTTCATTGATTTCCCTGATGTAACAGAGCAGCAGCGGAAGATTGAGTCATACTTGCGCAATCACTTCATTGGGGAAGGGAAGAGCAAGTACGACTACCTGATGACTCTGCGTGGGGTTGTGGACGAGAGCACGGTCTGCCTTATGGGACACGAGCGAAGGCAGACACTGAACATGATTACCATCTTGGCTCTCAAAGTGCTTGGAGAGCAGAATATCATTCCCAATGCAGCCAATGTAACATGCTACTATCAACCTGCTCCCTACATCAGCGACAGGAACTTCAACAATTACTATATTGCTCCTAGACAGCCACCCATTATCTACCAGCCCTATTCCTTTCACATTCCCATGCAGAGTGGCATGGTGTAGCCAACCACAAAACCTCATTGCCTTACATCATTGACCAACCTTTCCCTAGCCCCCCATTCCCCTGAGGGCTCTTCAAAATAAAGCCCATGTTAAAGCAAATTTTCCTATCACTTTTGATTTTCAGGACATCTTTTTTTGGGGTGAGTCTGTGCATCTTGCCAAACATTGGCCTGCTACTGAAATATTGTCCTACATATTGAATGAACTGTGTGCTGGAGTTCATGTGAGATTCTCAGCAAGTTTCCTAAAACAGTTTATGTGCACCCTCATGTTTCTCTCTGTTTTGCAGCAATTTGGCCAGACCACCAACGTTGCCAACCAAGCAATAGTGTCTTACAAATGGCACAAGCACTGAGACTAATGTTGTGTGCCTGGACCGAAATGCAAAAGTTTGTGAGTTTGGCTACAGCATCAAGTCTACACTCCTGCCTTTTGTTCTTTTGTTACAGTGCTGTATTGCTACTAAGAGACTAAGAGGCAAAACCCGCACAAGGCATAGGGATGGAGACTGGAATATATTATCCACTTTTGTGACAGTGTGACGCTTCTGGAGAAAGCTGGCAGTGTCCAGTCTAAACAAGCAGAGATAGGAGATAGGCATGAAAACAAGACCTTGGGCAACTCCAGCGGAACACTGATGACATAAAGCATTCTCCATTTAACGGAGCTACAGAAGTTGTTGCCTCTGCAGGGAGCACAGCCAATTGAAGTCTTATGTAGGCTGAACAGACCTGAGTTATAATACGCTCCATTGTCTTGGAGGTGCAGGCTTGGTGTTTAAGGCTTGGTGTTTAAGTTTTTTGCTCCAGTACGACTGGAGAGATAGCAATACCGCAGGATGACAGAGCTGTGTCTTCTGGCTAGAAGATCACTAAATATGGCATGAGTGATTCTGTCCTCCATTCTCAATAGATTCATCTGTTGTACCTGTATATGCATTCTGGAGTGCAAAATTGAGCTTTTGTCCCTCAGCTGCAAGAAACGAAGAGAGTGAAGACTCTATGCCTCATTTCATAGTGAAAGTGTATAGAGCACGAGCCCACTGAAGTGGGGGAATATAATACCAGTGCAACTGAACTGGAAATCTTATCCAAGTGCCTCACTGAAGTGAATGGTGAATGGTTCGTGAGTGGATCCAATTTTAATGCCATGTTGCTGTGCTACCTAATGTGATAAGTATCTAATCAATTTCAGAAATTCTGTAGAAAACTGGGGAAAGCCAAACAATTCAGTATGGCAAATTCTGATAGAGAACTTCACAAGTTTTGTAAAAGCTACTCACTTGTTTCAGTAATTGACACTCTGATCCTTGAGATATGGATGATCACAGAGCTTCTTGTGTGAGCCTGGTCATCCTACGTATGTGTTTTCTGCAGTTACCGAAGCAACATGACATGGAACTGTGGAACAGCTGCCATCACAATGCTCCCATAACTTTAAAAATGGGCCTCAATCCTATCTTCCCCCAAATGTAGTGTTTTTTTTTACAGTCTGGACATACCTAGTACTCAGCTGACTTGCTGAACTGTTAAGCTTTAGTAATTACTACAGGGAAGTAGAAGCATTTCAAGGAGGAGACAGGTTAAGTACAAAGGCTACACCTGGATGGCCAGGAAAGTTGCCTCAAAGATCTTTTATGCTCATTCCTTGCCTTCCCACCTCCCTGCCCTGGGTCCTGGGGATGACAGTTGGTTGATAATGCTGATAATATTCTTTAATTCCACAGAACTATAGTTTCCTGGACAGAGTATTAAACCAGTTTGGTGTAGATGCATCATTACTAGCTGAAGCAAAATTTTGCAAAACATTTGGCCATGATAATAAAAGAAACAGCATTCAAACTTTTTGAATTTTGAACATTTTGAATGTGAGAGATACTGTAGCCAGAAGAATCATTCACTTGGTGTGCCTTGTTGGACTTTGAAGATCAAGCTATGCCTATAAGTGTCATTTTTACCTTTGAAAACTGGCACATACTATTATTGTGTTAGATGAAGCTTTCATTGTGAAAAGTACAAGCAACAATGAAGGAATCTACTGGTGTTCAAAAACCAGCCCATGTATTCTTCTACTTCTTGTACAATTTGTCTAATTTCATTTTATATCTTTAAGTTCTGGTTACTTTTAAGCCCATACAACCTTTACCAGCTGGTCTGGAACTGAACCACAGAAGTCAATTGATATGCTCCAGTTGACTTTTTGGTCTTTTGCTAAGATGTATCATGATATATAGATCTTCAATGTTATACATTATGAAAGACTTCAATATGCAAAAAAAAAGTCTCAGGTATAAATTGAAGCTTTCAATAGATTTTAAAAGGTCTCGTATTTCCTACATAGAGATTGCAATTGAATGTCATCAGATGGTAACCACTTGGGATATCTATATATTTTGTGTGAGTGTGGATTTGTTGTGAAACAAGTTTCTGCTGTTGCAATTGTTGCACTAGGTTCTTTTGTTTCACAACATTAAGGCTTGCCTTTGCGCTTCCAGACAGAAAATGTTCTGGATTCAGCCCTCCACTTTTCATAAGTTTCATAATTTCTTAAAAGTTCAATTAGAGAAGTATAAATATTCTAAAGTAGCATTGATTCTGTTGATTGGTTTGTTTGTTTGTTTGTTTGTTTGTTTGTTTGTTTGTTTTCATCACAGGGGATTTTCATGTCCAAACAGCAGCTTGAGAATGTTGGGTTTCTAAGATTCGTTGCAGAAACCTCTTTTCTGGGTCTTGAGCACAGTACTCAGGAAGCATCCCTGGTGAAAGTCCTGTTGAAATGAATGAGAGTTGCACAACTGCACAGGTGTGTTTTTGTGTAACTCTGAGTGAATTCACAGTATATTTACTACCTAGTGGCTGTTTTTTTAAAAAAGAAAAGTCTGTGGTGGCTCTCAGGTTGCTCTATGTATTCACTGCATGTGGTGGACTATGTGTTCCTGAGTATCTAAGCAGTGATAGGGGCTTGGCAGTGCACAGCAGTTAAAAAATAGCTGGCTCTTTTGAGTGGGTACCACAGCTCAGCGTTAAATCACATGTTTTGCATGCAAACAATCCCAAGTAAACCCCTTGGAAGCTACCTCAGAACAAATCAGTTTTGATTAGTATTGCCTACATTGACTGCCAGAAGCTCTCCAGAGTTTCAGAAAGGAGTCTTCTCCAGACCAGCCTGTAGATCCTGGGTACCCTTCAACATTTATCTGATGAAAATAGGGGCTTCCCATTCAATAATGATATTTTTACTGTTTATACACCACACATCTTATTGGGTTGCCCCAGCAACTCTGAGCAGCTTCCAACATATATAAAAACATTAAAAAAATTAACCATTAAAAAAAACCCTTCCCTATTCCTTCAGACAGCTTGGGAGTTGGATAACTCCACACCCTCCAACATTTCTCCCACGAAAATAGGGACACCCTGGGGAAAAGCGGGACATTCTGGGATCAGATCAGAAACTGGGGCAGCTACTCTAAATCAGGGACATCCTTGGAAAATAGGGACACTTGGGGGGGCCTGTGAACTCGAGACCTTCTGCATGCAAAACACCATCTCTCTGTTAGGGCCTCTCCATATGTGATCTACCACTGAGCAATGTACTTTACCACTGTGACCAGTTCAGTCCCTGGCTTTTCCAGTGAAAAGGATCAGGTAGCAAGTTTTGGGGAATACCTCTGCTTATAACTTGGAGAGCTGCTTCCTGTCAGAGTAGACAATACTGGATGAGATGGACAAACTGTCCAACTATCTTATTACCTTCAGGTATACATCTATATCAGGGGTGGCTAACTGTGGCCTACCAGATATTGTCAGATCCCAATTCCCACCAGCTGCACTGCCATCATGGACACTGCTCAAGGACAACAGCAACTGCATTAAGCAACGTCTGGAGCGCCACAGGTTAGGTATTCCAGATCTATATCAAGAATTCACTCTGATGTTGTTGTTGTTTTTTTCATTTTCCATATCTATAAATTTTACTCTTATGTTTATGTAATATCCTGCTGTGTAATTGTTATTTTAAAAACTGTGCGAGTGCCTGATTTCAACACATTGCTTTCAAACTTATCGAAAGTTTACAGCGTTGAGTAATCTAATATTGTCAGGCTGTGTGTGTTAAGGTCTAAGTTCTTTCCTAAAAGATATAAAGATATAGATATATAAAACTATAAATCCTTGAAGACATTTTTCATTATAATTGTAGAAGATTGAAAGCAGATATTTTATAGTATTTTGTTTAGGATGTAAGCTGTCACATTTATATCACTTAAACACACTACATCGTTTTTCACACTGAGTAAAGGGGGGGGGGATTGTATAGTTATTCTCCGTCATGATAATATTTTTCCTGTGGTCTAGTGATCCTGCAAAGTGTTGTTTGTTTTTAAGAATAAAAAGTAATGGGCTAGATTCATCCAGTATTCTGCCACTGTATACCTGCCAAAGTTGTCATAGCCCTAAATGTATTGCCCTGATCTAAAGCTCTGCAGGTCTATAAGGCAGTCTTGTGCAAGTAATACATCCTCTGATGTGCAGAGCTCAGAGGTAGAGTCCCAGGTCCAATCCCTGGCAAGTTCAGTTATTAAAAAAGAAAGAATGAAAGAGCAGGTGATGGGAAAGTCCTCTCCCTGAGACCCTGGATTGCTGCTTCAGGGAGAGAAGACAATGTACTGGGATAAATCAACCCATGGTTTTATTCAGTATTAAGAAGCACTATGTAAGCCAAAGAGCTTTACAAATCATTGCAATGATGGAAATGCCTATACAGGGGTGCCAACTTGAATAAAATATTGGGGGGGCAGGTAAGCCCCTCCTCACATAACTGATCACAAGACGCAGCACACACACACATCATTTAAATGCCAATGCCCATCAACATGGGGGGATGCCTCCCTCAAATATTTCTTTAGCATGGTCAATTTACTGCAAATTCTGTTGAGATTCTGGTATTTGTTTCATGAGTTTTTACCATTGCTCAGTATAAAATGGTCCTGCTTCAGCGCA